TCAAAAAAGGCTAAGAGGTCTTGATTCACTTGTTCAAGAGAAAGCGCCTCTTTCGGTAAATTTTTATAAGCACCGTAAGACCAAGAAATAAGATCAGGTAAGGTAAAATCAAATCCCGACTCAATTAAACGAATCACAGCCAGTGCTGCGCGGCGCAAAGCATAAGGATCCTTAGAACCAGTTGGTCGAATACCCACAGCAAAAAAGCCCACCAAAGTATCTATACGATCTGCTAACCCCACCAAACGACCAAGCTTTACTTCTGGAAGGGACTCAAAAGCGCCGCGGGGCGCGTAGTGATCTTCAATCGCTTGTGCAATTTCTTTCCCTTGATCTTGTGCGTAATAGCATCCCATAGTTCCCTGAAGCTTAGGAAACTCTGCAACCATTTCTGTCATCAAATCTGCTTTACAAAGCTTTGCAACTTGTTGTGCTTGCACAGCATCAACATTTCCTTTTGAGGCCATTGAAACTGTCAGTTTTTCTAAGCGCCCTACTTTTTCTGCTAAAGTTCCAAGCTTTTCATGGAATACGAGCTCTGACAACTGATCTGCATAGTGGGATAATGGAATTTTACGATCTTGGGCTTCACAAAACTGTGCATCTGAAAGTCGGGCTCTTAAAACGCGCTCATTACCTTCTGTGATCTGTTTGCCTCCATCGCTGGCTGTAATATTAGAGACAACTAAAAAATAAGGGGCTAAACGTCCTACTGCATCACGACATGCGAAATAACGTTGATGTTCTTGCATGTATGTCACCGTGACCTCTTCAGGGAGGCTCATAAAATCTTGATCGATACGACCTAAAAGAACAACAGGCCACTCAACCAGTCCAACCACTTCCTTAAGAAGATCTTTATCCTGAACCCAATGAACACCAGCTTCTTCAACACACAGATTGGCTTGTTCAACAATCATTTCACGGCGTTTGGCAGGGTCCAAAATGACCCCTTCTTTTTCTAATTTTGTTTTATAATCTGCAAAAGAAGAAACCGAGAATTCATC